CTTCCACCTGCAGCTCTTCCACAGCTGGACTGAATGGGTTTACAGCTATAAGATGGCAAAGGCAACATCATGTGAACGAAAAACCTTCTATGAACCATTCATCTGCATCTCTTTCCCCCAATTCTTCTTTGGACTGTGAGCATCTGTTATCCAGTGTTCTGTTTTAGCTAGTGATTGCCGCATGAACTTAGTGGATCTGGCCTAGTGAGCTGAAAAGCATTTAGCACCACCAGGCTGGCCTGGAAATAAATATTATCCAGGAGAGAGTGAAGCGACTCGGGGATTAAGCTGCTGCATTATCCTGCCACACTCATCTCTTGGGGGAATTGATTATTGTCTTCAGCTTGGAGTCACTTCAGTGCCAAGAAGACACTCAAGCAAGCTGCTCTTCCCATGGTTGGCTTGGCATGCTGTGACAGATGACATCTGTGGAGCAACAATCATAATCTTAAGTGTCTCGAGCAAAAACTGCCAAAAAGGAGCTATGCTAAAAGGATGGGGGGGGGGGGAGAAGAAAGCATTTTGAGTTCACAAACAGAATCTGCAGACATCGTGATCCCTGATATGGTTATGTGGCTTTAGTAAAGGTAAAGGTACCCCTGCCTGTACGGGCCAGTCTTGACAGACTCTAGGGTTGTGTGCCCATCTCACTTAAGAGGCCGGGGGCCAGCGCTGTCCGCAGACACTTCCGGGTCACGTGGCCAGCGTGACAAGCTGCATCTGGCGAGCCAGAGCCGCACACGGAAACGCCGTTTACCTTCCCGCCAGTAAGCGGTCCCTATTTATCTACTTGCACCCGGGGGTGCTTTCGAACTGCTAGGTTGGCAGGCGCTGGGACCAAGCAACGGGAGCGCACCCCGCCACGGGGATTCGAACCACCGACCTTTCGATCGGCAAGCCCTAGGCGCTGAGGCTTTTACCCACAGCGCCACCCGCGTATGTGGCTTTGGATTACCACAAACAGCTGGAGATCTGTTCATATTATTAGGAACTCTGTTGGGAAGCTTCCTTATGTGTATAGATGTGCATGCATGTGCACTCACACATGTGTCCATGTGCACACGTGCAGACACACACCCTTTCTACGCTACAGTTGAAGAGATAGAGGCGATATTTGATTCAGTTCACATTACCTAATCAACACTTTCTGAGTCAAGATATGAACTGAGACGCAAACCCTCCTTTGCAATCTGCACTTACCCAAATTTTGTAATGCAGTTCTCTGGTCAAGTAATGGGTTAAAAAATGCATGTATTGGGGTAAAGTGTGCATAGAAATGCATGTATAAGTAAAAGTTATATACACAAATGCGTTGTTGTTGTTTTTAAAAAAGTTTTGCAAAAATGTATAGGCAAAATTGTTTACAGCGGTGTATATAAGAGGAGTTCAGGCTAAAATGCTTCTGAATTTTCATGTGGTCTTTTTTAAAAAAAATCACATATTGCTGTGGATGGAGATGTGGAGATTTGAATTTCAGATTGGAAAAATAAGAAGCATGGAGAAAATAAAATCAATATATTCAGTCATCCCTAGTACACCATTGTGGTGCTCTCGAGATATTGTGGACTACACCTCCCATCATCTCAGAATAACCATGGATTCTTTGGTTCAAGGATTGTGAATAATGCAAGGCTTTGGATGTTTTCCTAACCAGAAAAGGAAGTAATAGAGGACGGATATCTGGCCATTCTTTGCTGAAGTCCATGGTAAAAGACCCCACTTCTCTCTCTTTCCTGCCCTCTCCCACTGCTCTTGTCTCTGTGTTCTTGGCAATATTCTCTGACCCTTTGAAAATAAATAAGATAGAAAGACCACAACACATTCGTATTCCATTATTGAGAATACCCCCCCCCCAAATGCTGAGAATGTTTCAGAAATCTGCAAGATGGTCATTTAGAGCTTTAGAGTTCCAAACAAGGAAATAGGCAGATGTTTGGTCTTCTGGCTGCCGATGTCACAGAAGCTCTTCTTTCTGTATTTACAGAGTCCTGCTGGGTCTAGAGCAGCAGTTCTCAACCTGTGGGTCCCCAGATGCTGTTGGACCACAACTCCCATCATCCCTGAGCTCTGGCCTTGCTAGCTAGGGGTGATGGGAGTTATAGTTCAACAACATCTGAGGACCCACAGGTTGAGAAAGGACGGTCTAGAGGGAAATAGCATTTGAAAGCCTCCCTTCCAAGCAGAACAGCAGATTCGCCAAACAGATTCCCTTCCCACCAATGGTGCCAAGAGGAAATTGCAGGGTGATGGAGCCAGAGTCAATGACAGGCAGGACCAAAAAAGTCTACTTTTGTGTCCATCCTGCTCCCAGCTGAATTACACAAGACTAAGGAGAAGGCCTTGGACTGGCTGTCAGAAAGCAGGTTCAGGTGTGTGGTTATTGAGGGCAGACTAAGGTTGGTGGGGCAGTGCCCCAATTTGCCTTCCCCATTTGCTTTTCTTGTGTTATCACCATGTTGCTGTTTTGATGAAACAGTTCAGGAGATGGAAGCAGCTCTCCCCAACACTCATGTGCTTATAGACTGAGAAATCTCTTACTGAGATTTCCTTTGTGCTCATTATATGCAACAGACACATTTTGAGTTCAAAGGTGCAATAGGCATCTTTATAACTGTAACGTCAGAGACAGGTGAAGTGTGCACAGATGTGCCTTAGGGCAGGCTTATCACTTGATATCTTTACTTTTGGGTTATGTGCACTTGCAGACTGGTGACTAAATGTGTGCCCTGACTCCCATTGACTAGCAATGCAGATGACTGCTTCCACCAACATTCATGAGTACAACACAGAACCGTTAATTCCCTCCAACTTTCCTCCGATGAAAATAGGGATGTCTTATTCCATACTTTCCAACATTTCTCTGATGAAAATAGGGAGGTCCTATTTCCATATCCTTCAGCATTTCTCCAATGAAAATAGGTATGTCCTATTCCATGCCCTCCAACATTTCTCCGATGAAAATAGGGATGTCCTAAGGAAAAGTGGGACATTCCAGGGTCAAATCATAACCCAGGATGGCTTCTGTAAATCTGGGACTGTCCCTGGAAAATAAGGACACTTGGAAGGTCTGAGAACCATAGATGGGAGTCGCTGTATTTCAAATCTACTATATTTTCCAAGGACTGCAAACATGGTGCTCTCCAAAGGTTGTTGAGCTACAGCTCCCATCATCCCAAGTAGTTTGGCCAACCAGGGATGATGGGAGCTGCAGTCCAATACAGCTGTACTGGAATACACAGAAGAGAATTGCACAATGAGGAGTTAGATTGATGTCCAGCAGTTTCCCCTTCTAACGCCCCTGGCTTACCAGGTCTGCATTTATCACGGCCTGCTATCTGTACCTCTCATCAACACAATGAGAGTTAATATGATTTCTTTGTACTCAGCATTCCTTCAGTAGAAATGCTTAAGGCTCTAAAGAGGATCAAAGGCTTGTGATCTGTTACAGATAAGCCAAGACAGGGTCTCATACCCTCCGACTAGGGAATGCAGCAGCTTTTTGTCTGCGTTAGCATTTCTTTTCCCATACCTGAAAGTGTAAGGAAGGTATAGACCAGGCACGTCCAACTCCCAAGAGACTGCGATCTACTCACAGTATAAAAAGACCAGCTGTGATCTACCCATTGTCATTGCTAGGGGACGGTTGACCAAAGTTGTGGAGCTTTTTTTGAGGTGGGGGTGGGGTGGTGGAACACATAGACAATCACTAACGACACAATCAACCTGAGACACTCCCGCGATCGACTGGTCATGCTGGACATGCCTGGTATAGACCATGGGAAAGCCACTTTTTAATAGTGCATGTTGTTAGGGCCAATAACGTACAACCCAGGTGGGTGTGACTAATATACACTTTGCCCTCCCCAGTCTAAGACAACTGCATAAACCTGAGGGAGGAAGACACTGTCCCTGAGAATCCAGTGTAAGACCAGCCCAGGGCAGCGCTGCCCATCATCCAGCTTCAGCTATGAGCAGGTGTGCCCACTGCCATGTCTATATGGGTTTCCAAGCAGCAGCAGCAGGAGCCTGAGTTATGCAATTTAGGTGGTCTCCTTGAGTTCTGTCTAGCTGTAATGTGCCTGCTGAAAAGGTTTCTGTTGAGTAGGCAAGCCTACTCAACAATGTATGGTTGACATGCATTCTATTAAGTACCGTATTTTTCGCTCTATAAGACGCACCAGACCATAAGACACACCTAGTTTTTGGAAGGGGAAAAGAAAAAAATTATTCTGAATCCCAGAAGCCAGGACAGCCAGCAGGATGGCGCTGTCTGTCCTGGCTTATGGGATAGCCGCGTGCAGCCTCTCCCGGGCTGTGGAGGCTGTGCGCAGCTAAGCAAGAAGCCAGGAAGCGAAGCGATCCCCCTGGCTGTCCTGGCTTATGGAATAGCCAGGAATAGCAATATGGAACACAGCCTCTCCTGGGCAAGGGGAGCCTTCATCCCCTGCCCGGGAGAGGCTGTGCACGGCTAAGGCTCCCCCAAGAGCCGCGCTCCCTTTAAAGAGCATGCGGAGTGTGTGCGCGGCTCTTGGGGGCTTTTCCCCGAGGAGGGAGAAGGGCAGCCCTTCTTCCTCCTCAGGGAAAAGCCCCCAAGAGCCACACACAAGCTCCACGTGGTTCTTTAAAGGGAACGCTGAGCAGAGCCTCCCGCCTGCATTCGCTCCATAAGACGCACACACATTTCCCCTTACTTTTTAGGAGGGGAAAAGTGTGTCTTATAGAGCAAAAAATATGGTAATTTCTTGTTTTCAAATGGCGCATATTTTTAACTACTGGTTTTATGTGTACTTTGAATTTTTTCTTAGGTCTTGTTTTTACCTTCTAACTTCAATGGGCAATTCTGATGTATATTTTATGTTTTATGTAGACCATGGTTTTGCCAGTTAAGCAGTATTTACATTTTAAAAACGGGCAAACAAATAAATTCATGTATGTAGTTCGGAATTGATGACTGCAGAATTTTCATATCCACACCATTCCAAAATGGACCCATCAGACCATCAAACTTCAATATATTTTATAAAAAATAGTTGACTTTCACAGAAGTGAAGAGATACAATTGCACAATGGTGGACACAATGGTATAAATACGTATCACTGAGAAATTGCTTGCAAGAAGTTTAAAAACAGACTGTACAGCACCGCATCTGAAATTGTGTAACAGCCAATAGAATTTTACTTCTTTTCACCTCTAAAGAAATCTGATTCTTAAGTATTTGACTTTAGAAGAGAGTGTGGTTGTTGTTGTTTTAAAGAGAAACCCAACTAATATTGATGCACATTCTATTTCAGATTACTGTCCAAATATATTTTGATGTTGAGCAATTAGACAGATTGCTTTTTGTTTAAAAAAATGATATATGGTAGAAAAAGACATTCATGCAGTTAAGCCACCATTAGTCTCTGACTCTACTATAAGGCAGATCATTAATCTTTTTTATTTTATTTTTTAAACAATGTCTTTAGCCACTGAAATAAACTTTAGTGCTTTCCATGACAAAGTCATGGCAGGCCTGGTGTAGAGTTAAGAAAGTTACCTCTTATCCCATCTAGATCATTTTAAATAAAGGCTCCGCCATATTTGGAATACATTATACTGTAGAAAAAGCTCCCCCCCCCCATTTCCTTTTTTTAATTCTTACTGGAAAAAAGAGAACTTAAGAGAAACCCAGCAGAATGCTTTTGAGTTCAGCACAAATGACACTGCTTTCAGGTGGCCGGAATATCAAGGTTGAGTTTATGTGTCATCCTCAGTCTTAATTATGTGGAAAAGAGTGACATTGAACAGGACTTGGTGCCCATTATTCCAGGCATACAGAGCTCGATCTCTGGCATTGTAGTCAAGCATGGATATATGAAAATATTGATTATGAAAGGGGATATCCGTGTATTCGTACGTGGAGGTTTTCGTGGAATAGGAGTAGTACACCTTGGCTCCAGTTAAGTGAGAATTGGTGACGTACAAGGTGCCACAGATCATGAAGGATTCACCAGCACTTCTCTTTGGGTAGCCAGTGCTCCAGCTTTTCATCACTTCCAACGTGTCCTGGTTCAGCTGGCTGATGACGATGTTGCCCGCGTTCTGATTGGTTGCGTAGACGGCCCACAAGCCAATTTCGTCCGCCATCAGGTCGATATCCGAGAAGCCGCCCCAAGTGTATGGGTAGACGTTGTGGAAGCCGGCGTACTCCAGGCTACGCTGAGCCAGCACCCGGCCCGTATCGAAGCTGTACTTGATGATGATGTTGCTCTGGTATTTGTTGAAGAAGAGGGAGCCATTGTAGACAACGTGGTTGGTTCCTGCCCACTTGAAAGGGAGGTTGTATGTCCTCGACTCGGCTCCGCTGACAAAGTCTGCTATCGATTTGTATTCACGGACTATTTTGTTGTTGGTGTAACTGTCCATATACCAGACCTGAAAGCAAAAAAGAAAGAAAGAAAGAAAGAAAGAAAGAAAGAAAGAAAGAAAGGAAGGAAGGAAGGAAGGAAGGAAGGAAGGAAGGAAGGAAGGAAGGATAAGCTGTGAACTTTGGACAGAAGCATAATTTGCAAGCTGGCCTATCATTTTAAATGCATTGGCTATTTAATCTTTCACTGGAGTCTTTCCATTTGCCACGCAAATCAAGCAAAGGAAAATCAGATCTGATCGGGTTTTGTTGATTGCTGGGTTTAGAAAAAGGGGAGCGGCCCATCTGCACACAGCAGGGCTCTGAATTTCTCAGACTGCCATTTCTCAGACTATGTTCCACAGAACCCCGAGGTTCCAAGGGGTTCCTCTGAGAAAAGAACTGTATTGGCAGACAAGCACACACAATGTGTGATTTCTGTTGAGCTGTCGCCATGGGAATTAAATGCACCATTCAAGCAATTTTCCTGCGATTTCCTTCCCTTCCCCCCCTTCCCTTGCTGGGTTCTCCAAGGTTTAAGTCAGTAGAAGAGTTTGGATTTGATATCCCGCTTTATCACTACTCTAAGGAGTCTCAAAGCGACTAACATTCTCCTTTCCCTTCCTCCCCCGCAACAAACACTCTGTGAGATGAGTGAGGCAGAGAGACTTCCGAGAAGTGTGACTAGCCCAAGGTCACCCAGCAGCTGCAGGTGGAGGAATGGGGAAGCGAACCCGGTTCACCAGACTACGAGACTACCGCTCTGAACCACTACACCACACTGGCTAATGTGCAGGAGTGCCGGCTTCTAGGGGCTGAGTCCTTTTGAGTCCCTGCTATATTTTTGGAGTAGGGCTGGCCCCCACCATCCCCCAAAATTTCAGAGCCACAGAGGGGAGCTGAGCACAGTGTGCCTTCAGCAGCTGGTTCCTCCTCCTCCCCCTGCTGTAGAGGGGAAGGAGGCTTGAAGCACCAGCGGTGGTGCCAAGAGGAGGCGGAGGATGAGCCACTGGCCACTGAGCTGATTGGCTGCCATGTTTGGCTCCACCCCAGCTCCTCCCAACATCCTGACATCACACTGTGATGTTGGCACCCCCAACCCTTTTGCAAGCTGGTGCCTCTGGCGAGGTGTCATTGCTTGCCTGCCTCCCCAGTGCTGTGCCTTGCTGCCAGTTGCCAAGGGAGAGAGGGGCGAGGCAGTGTGGAGCTGGGTGTGGTGCAGACTCAGCAGCAGAGTCCATCTGACCCTCCCAGCACCTCCACTGCCTCGCCCATCTTCTCCTCTTAAGTGTTGAGAAGCCAGGTGAGCAACACTGCTCTGCCTGCCCTGCCCTGTTAGTGTGCTATGTAGGAATCCCTTGCCCCCTTCTGGCACTTGCTAGAAAGAGCTCTTAATGCTGGTGAGGAGATAGGAACTCTAACTAACAGGAGCAGAAGGCTTAAGGATTACAAAACAGAACACAGGCTTCTCTTGGCAGAGGAGTACAGGAGACCGATAGCAAAGATTTTTAAAGTCTCAAACTGGGTAGATAAAAATCAGTGTTTTTTTTAAAAAACAGTTGAATCAGCCCCCCCCCAATTTAAATAAGATTTTTAAAATAAAATGCTTTTGCAGGAAAAATCCTTCTAAAGATAGTTTTCTATTTAAGTTAACATTATATTCCAATGGCTATTCATCAGGAAATAAGGATTTGTTTTAAGTTTATCATGTGGCCTAAAACTCAGTCTAAGTTTATATATATATAGTTTAACCACATCAGTTAACAAACATGGATACATATGCTATAATGTTATTTTTTTAGTTAAATAAATGGTTTAAATTGTTTTTAAGGAATGATTATTTTTCTCCTTCCAATAAAGTACAGTAGAAAACTTGTCCAAATATAAACAATAATTTCATAATTACCTGTCTTTGTATTTCTAATAGTATAACCAAAGCAGTAATTTTTGATATAACTGTAACAACTACTCTGGAAATTTATTATTCCAAAAATGAAACCTTCATCTGGTTGTAAATATTAAGATCATACCAGAAAGAATGAGTCTTTCTGTAAAAAAAAAATGATTTAAATCAAGTCTTACTGACTAGTGATTTAAATCAAGTCTTACTGACTAGTGATTTAAATTGATTTATATCAAATCCACCCTGGTCTCAAACTTGCCACTTTTAAAAGTTACTCCTCTGTTGTGAGCTCTCCTCATAATCAACTCTGCCCCCTTTTAATTCATTTAAATATATTCTACCGTAAGTGTTCTGCTGAAGTTTTCTTTAAAGTAAAGGGTTCCACTGGAAACAAAAAAATTGAGAACCACTGCTTTGGACAATAAGGAGAATGATGTGTAGGTCATGGTAATATTAGACCCTTCACTGACATGGCTGCCATGTCTCCATGTTGATCCACCCCATGTGGTTTGCCCTGATTTCATGTTTATTAAAAGGGAAGGGTTGTGCACTGCATTCAGATAGATCCCAAACTAAACCGGGCTGATCTGGGGGCAATCTGGACATAGTTGAGTCAGGTTGAGACAGCCCTGGATAGGGCTGGGCAGGCCAGAGAGATCCGGGGCTGTCATGGGGCAGGGCATGGGAAGTAGAGGCAGGCATAGGTGGGAAGGAGAAACCGTAGAAAGGTGGGACCGAACAGCTGGCTGCACCTTTGCGGCAGAAGGTAGGGGTGGGTGTGAGTGTGAGTGGATGCCGTTCTGGCCTGATCTCTCCTTCCTGCCTCCTGAAGCAGCACCGCACAGGATTGAATCCTAAGCAAAAGATTCGATTCTGCATTATGCTAGTTGCTACTCCTTCCCATGGGGCAGCAACACCCTGCAGGATCCGGTCCTCCCACTTGTAAGCAAATAATAATAATAATAATAATAATAATAATAATAATAATAATAATTTATTTGTACCCTGTCCATCTGGCTGGCTACAATGTACATTCTACTACTACTACTACTACTACTACTACTACTACTAATTTATTATTTGTACCCCGTCCATCTGGCTGGGTTTCCCCAGCCACTCTGGGCAGCTTCCACAAAGACCAAAAATACACTAAGATGTCATACATTAAAAACTTCCCTAAACAGGGCTGCCTTCAGATGTCTTCTAAATGTCAGGTAGTTGTTTATCTCTTTGACATCTGGTGGGAGGGCGTTCCACAGGGTGGGTGCCTGGTTCCCTGGTTCCCTGTAGCTTAGCTTCTCGCAATGAGAGAACTGCCAGAAGGCCCTCGGCACTGGACCTCAGCGTCTGGGCAGAATGATGGGGGTGGAGACGCTCCTTCAGGTATACTGGGCCGAGTTGTAGAGCAGATGTATTGCATTTAGAAGACCCTAAGTTTAGTCCCCAACATCTCCAGCCAAAACATTCTCAGGCAGTAGGTGCTCAGAAAGACTTCTGCCTGAGGCCTTGGAGAGAGCTGACAACTGGGCTGAATGGACCTATGTTGTGACCCAAGTATAAGGCAGCTTCACATCTTTCATTGACCAACTGGTAGAATTCCTGCATGGCTCCTAGCAAGAAATAATAAAAGTCACATACTCTGTTATTTTTCTCTGGTGCTAATGGATCCGTCATCCAAGCGCCAAACCGGGTTCCCGATGTCTTGACTGTAATAGGGCCAGTGATCTTCATCAATTTGCCGCAAGCTGAAATGGTAAGAAACCAAAATGACTGTATGAAAATCCCTTCCAAACCACAACGTTGGCTGACTGTGCTCTTCTTCCAGATATAAGTGCTGTGAAAGGAGACCGAGTAAGAAATAAAAAAACAAACGCTGGTGATGCCCGAGTGCTTTTGGTGCCATCCAAAAAAGAAGAAGGATACTTTGTTCAAGTTCTTTAAATGAAGAGTTTGAAGAATGCAGACAAGACGTGGTGTAAGGATTTGAAATAACTAGCACTTCAGTGGTATATCATTCATTCTTATTGTTTTATGTAGCATGCATGTAATAAAACCAACAAATGAAACACCGCTTTTTCAGGGAACATTTAGGCTGATTAAAAAGTAGCATATGGGATGCGGGTGGCGCTGTGGGCTAAACCATTGAGCCTCTTGGGCTTGCTGATCAGAAGGTCGGCACTTCGAACCCCGCGATAGGGTGAGCTCCTGTTGTTCGGTCCCAGCTCCTGTCACCCTAGCAGTTCGAAAGCATGCCAAAAAGTGCAAGTAGATAAATAGGTAGCGCTCCAGGGGAAGGTAAACGGTGTTTCTGTGCACTGCTCTGGTTTCGCCAGAAGTGGCTTAATCATGCTGGCCACATGACCTGGAAAAACTGTCTGCGGACAAATGTCAGCTCCCTCGGCCAGTAAAGTGAGATGAGCACCGCAACCCCAGAGCCGGCTGCGACTGGATTTAACTGTCAGGGGTCCTTTAAAGTGCTTCTGTGCAAGAGCTTAAAAGCATTCCAGGGTTCTTCCATGGTTATTGCTTTTATAAGGTAAAGGTAAAGAGACCCCTAACAATTAGGTCCAGTCGTGACTGACTCTGGGGTTGCGGCGCTCATCTCGCTTTATTGGCTGAGGGAGCCAGCGTACCGCTTCTGGGTCATGTGGCCAGCATGACTAAGCCGCTTCTGGCGAACCAGAGCAGCACACAGAAATGCCGTTAACCTTCTCACCAGAGCGGTACCTATTTACCTACTTGCACTTTGATGTGCTTTCAAACTGCTAGGTTGGCAGGATCAGGGACCGAGCAACGAGAGCTCACCCTGTCACGGGGATTCGAACCGCCGACCTTCTGATCGGCATGTCCTAGGCTCTGTGGTTTAACCCACAGTGCCACCCGCTTCCTGTTACCTTTACCTTTAAAAAGTAGCATATAATGTTGCTGATTCTTCGCTGTTGTTGTGTTGTGACTTTTTAATGCATTGTCTTATTTGATTGGTGTTTTATTACGTATTGAGGTTTTACCTTACTGCTAGTGATCTATATGGCTCAAAAGAAATGATATCTATATATGATATACACGTACATACAGTGATACCTCTGGTTGCAAACGGGATCCATTCCGGAGGCCCGTTCGCAACATGATTGGAACGCAACCCGCAGTGGCGTTTCTGCACACGCGCGGGTTGCGATTCACCGCCTCTGCGCATGCGCGTGACGTCTTTTGCGCATCTGCACATGCGCGAGTGGCGAAACCCGGAAGTAACCCTTTGTGGTACTTCCGGGTCGCCGTAGGATGCAACCTGGAAAAACGTATCATGAAGCAAACATAACATGAGGTATGACTGTATGTGTGTACAGTGGTACCTCGCAAGACAAATGCCTCACAAGATGGAAAACTCGCAAGACGAAAGGGTTTTTTGTTTTTTGAGTTGCTTCGCAAGACGATTTTCCCTATGGGCTTGCTTCGCAAGATGGAAACGTCTTGCAAGTTTGTTTCCTTTTTCTTAAAACCGTTAATACAGTTGCGACTTGACTTCGAGGAGCAACTCATAGCATGCGGTGTGGTAGCCTTTTTTGAGGTTTTTGAAGACTTTGGGGATTTTTGAAGCTTTTCCAGAACTTTTCCGACACCGTGCTTTGCAAGACGAAAAAATCGCAAGACGAAAAAACTCGCGGAACGAATTAATTTCGTCTTGCGAGGCACCACTGTATATATTTGTATGTGGTATCATGCCTGAAAGCATACCCAGGAAGCCTGTATAGTTATCATTGGGTTTTTCTACTTGTAAGAGACTCTGCTTCCACCCAGAAGTAAGGTTCCGGCCTTTGGACCATTGGCTGGAGAATAGCATGCATCTTCTTCTTCCCCTTGCCTCCTGATCACATGTTTTTACCTGAATTACATGCCTAAATCCTAATTAGAGGTTTACATCCTAATTAAGAAACAATGGAAGGCCCCTTTCTCAGGGGCCAGATCCAGGTTGACTCTGGATCATCCTGGGTGAGATTTAATTTTTATTGTTTTGTATTTATTTATTAAATGGAAAGAAACAAGTTTGGTCCTCCTCTGAGGGCACTGCAAGAAGAAGAGTTTGGATTTGATATCCCGCTTTATCACTACCCAAAGGAGTCTCAAAGCGGCTAACATTCTCCTTTCCCTTCCTCCCCCACAACAAACACTCTGTGAAGTGAGTGAGGCTGAGATACTTCAGAGAAGTGTGACTAGCCCAAGGTCACCCAGCAGCTGCATGTGGAGGAGCAGGGAAGCGAACCCGGTTCCCCAGATTACGAGTCTACCACTCTTAACCACTACACCACACTGCAAGATGCTATCACATAGGGTTTTTGCTCCAACATGCTAGATCAGCCCTTGGATCAGGGAGCCATCTACAGCCCTAGCATTCATGATTTTTTTTTCCGGGGGGGGGGGAGTATGTAAAAAATGCACCTTATTTTCATCAAAGTGACTAGGATTCCGTTGGGCAAATTTGAACAAGGTTGAGTGATTTGTAGACGACAAGACGACAAGTTGCCCTTCCACGTGAATGAAAATGCTTAAATGGAAGTTAGTTTTAGGAATGCTTTGTTCAATCTGCATATAACTAAGTAGGTCAAATTAGAGTCGAGCAGAACAGGCTGTGTGTTCTGACTACACCGGCCAAGATATGACTTCATTTCCTACACTTAAGTTACTGGAAATGAATGCGCTATATCATCCGAGCCTATTCTCATTCTGTTATAATGGGGCAAGTGCTTTGATAAGCTGCCTTGAGGCACTGAATCCATTGCTGGGCTAAATGGATATAATGGAAATATGTACAAAGTGAATAGGCACTCAAGTCAATCAACTACATTGGATGAAAGCGGATGTTGCAGGAGCATCCGTCCTGTGTGTGTGTGTGTCTCTCCCTTCTCCCTGGAAACATCTAGTATAGGGATGGGGAATCTGTGGTGCTCCAGATGTAGCTGGATTTTCTCTCCTCCCCATCTGAAGTTAGGCCAGTAGTGAGAGAGGAGAGGGAATTCTCAGTCACAACACTCCATTTGTGGAGTTCTTGTTATCCCCTCAATCCATCTTTTGGGATATGTCTCTTTATGACTATTTTCTTGGATTAGATCGGGTTAAAATATATACGGCATAGTAACAACATTTTACTTAATCGGAAGCTGTTTGTAGAATTAAATCAAATAGTCCCGTTTTTCTACATTTCAGAGCAAGTTGGTAGGCTTGTGCAGAAATATAGGTCTTTTTGAGAATCAACAAGTGCACAAAATATGGGGGGAAATGTAACTTGCAATGTAAATAGGGAATTGATTTCAGCATCACCATCTCTACAACAGAGAGGACTTGGATGTATCAGAACATAGCGAAAAGACTGTATTCGCCATTCTTAAATCTTTCATAAAATGAGATTTTGAGGGTACCTATTCTCTCTCTCTCTCTCTCTCTCTGGGGGGTGGGGATTACAGAAGGAAAAGTACTGGAGGTGTTAAACCCAATGGGGAGCTTTAATACATATATTTTGGGTTCTGCCCTCCTGTCAAACCATTTTGGAAAGAAGTTATGGAAGTAATAAAAAAGTCGAACAGACATGGTATTATGTTAAATCCTGAAATATTGCTTTGGGGTTATCTGAAGGATCGCATCTTGCAGGCCGACTTAGAAAAGGTGAACAGTTTACTTAAAGTAGCAATAGATAAGTGGTGGCAGCGACAAGAACTTCTTTAATAGCCTCCTGGACTGAGCAAATTTTGACTGTAGCGTTTCTAACCAAAATTGGCGTATTATGTGAGGTTTAAAGAAGGCTGTTTGGAATAATAGTTCATTGAAAAGTGAAGTTTTTAAAAAATAAATAAATCAGTAGAATATGAAAGAGCAAGATAATATTCAACCACATCTATTATTTTAATTGCAGCTTTGCTCTTGCCAATGGTAGGGTGGAAGGCAGGGAGGCCAACAGTAGGTGGAGCAAGAGCCAATAAGAGGCAGCACCACCAACTCATTCTAATTCTACCTCCTTCCTCCTCCTGGCTGAGTTTTACAAGGTGCAACACTGAGACTAAGAAGGAGGAAGCTTCTTAGTAAGGAAAGATAATAAGAATATATAGATGATTTGAGAAGGTTGTAGAATGCAAAGATTATTGCAAATTGTATAATGTGGAGGAAATCGAGTGGGGGCGGAGGGAAGTGGGAGGTAGGAGAAAAGAATAATATGATGGATTGAGGAAATAGAAATGTAAATGTATGGGGGGGAGGAAATGGTGTTGGCTTCGGTACATATGTATTGTAAAGTAATATGTGAAAACCAATTTTAAAAAAGGAAAAAATAAAGACTAAAGCAGGAGGTCTGGAAATCCTGTTTTCCTTATCTTCAATATCCTCAAACCAATGTGGATACAAATGTCAACTTGCATTTGCAAAGCATGCAGTTTAAGATAAATGTGGTGGTTTGAGAAAATAAAATAAAACACTCTTTGTCAAACTCAAAAAAAGGGGGGGAGGAAGAAGCTGACAGGCAGCGCCACCCCCTGGACTTGTTGCAAATAAGAGGGTAGGCAGGTGGGTATTTGCTGAAGCCCATTGCGCATGCTGTAGTGGTGCCTGGGAGCACCGGAAGTCACGTCCAAGGCCCCATGGTGCAGGGGCTGAGCACCCACCACAATTTTTTGGTGGGTGCCCAAGCCCTTAGGACCTCCTGGCGCCGGCGCCAGTGTGTTTGTGGGTGGACATTACGACTTTGTTATAAACGGCTCCTGAT